TGACATGGCGATGTAGCCAGGGTAGGATGTCAGGATGCGTTATTACACGAATGCATGAAGCGTAAAGAGCTAGAGATGAAAGAGACGATCAAGACATATAGAGGGACTCCTCTTGGGGGCAAGCTCGGCATGTACTCTTACCGCTCTCGATCACTTTTTGGAGAAGACAATAAATCATCACGAGAATCATATTCTTACCCCTTTTTTCATCTGTAGTGACAGCCCGCAAGCTGAGGCGCCTGCAAAGGCAGAGACAGAAATCACTCGCTCGTCGACCAGACTTCCTATGCGAAGTTCCACCTTTGGTGCCCAGCAGCAGTCGACCACTGACACGACGACGGAGACGACAGTCGCAAACCCAAAGTTCCACGCCATCATCAACTACGAGGACCCGTACGTCCAACCGCTCATCCTCGAGGCCATGGAACGCCTCTTCCCTGGAGCATACTCTCTCCTCCCCGCGCCGCAGGAAACCGCCAACGACGACGCCGAAAACGCCGCGAAACTCGCCGTCAGCCTCCCCTCGCCCGACACGAAGATCCTGCACATCGCGCCCTACGAGTCCCTCGACTTCGACCACGTCGCCGCGCACCCGACCACGTCCCTCGTAAACAGCTACGTCATCCGCAAAGCCTTGATTCGAAAACACTACCTGTCGTCGACGGTGGACCACTGGATCGCCAAGCACCCTTCCTCGTCGCTCAAGACGCACGTCAAGCGCGGGGAGCACTTTGAGGTGGACTACGCCGAGTTCCTCGACGACGCGCTCGTCGAGGCGTTTGATCTGCGGGAGAGCATGGACAAGAACGAAGGGATTGAAGAGGAGAGCGAAAAGGAGTGGTGGATTCTGAAGCCGGGGATGAGTGATCGCGGGCAGGGGATTCGGCTGTTTAGTTCGATGGAGGAGTTGCAGGGTATTTTTGATGAGTGGGAGGAGGAGAGGCCTGACAGCGATGACGAAGACGGAGAAGAGGGAGCTGCTACCGCCGCCGGTGACCGCGAAGGAGGAGGGGACTACATCACGACCTCGCACCTCCGCCACTTCGTCGCCCAGCCGTACATCCACCCGCCTCTCCTCCTGCCCTCCGACGCCCGCAAGTTCCACATCCGCACGTACGTCCTCTGCGTCGGGAGCCTCGACGTCTACGTCTACAAGCCGATGCTGGCGCTCTTCGCGGGTAAGACCTACCGCGCGCCATGGGAGGACGCGGACCTGGACGGCCACCTGACCAACACCTGCCTACAGGGAGGAGGCGAATCTGCCTTGCCGCCCGTGAAGCAATTCTGGGATCTCGTTTCGTCTTCTTCTTCCGGTCTCCCCGCCGCCACGGCGGACCGCATCTTTGAGCGGATATGCGACGTCACGGGCGACGTCTTTGAAGCCGCGGCGCGGGAGATGACGATCCATTTCCAGCCTCTGGGTAATGCGTTTGAGGTGTTTGGCCTGGATTTCCTCGTCGACGAGGAGGCCAGGCCCTGGCTGCTCGAGGTGAATTCCTTCCCGGATTTCAAGCAGACGGGCGGGGACCTCAAGGGCGTGGTGGCCGGGTTCTGGAAGGAGACGTTGAGGAAGGCCGTTGGTGGGTTCTTTGGTGTTGAGCCCGTCGGTGGTGGTGGTGGTGGTGGTGGTGGTGGTGCTACAGATGGAGACATGGTTCATGTTAGACGGGTTGATTTGGGCAGACGGTAAGGCGTTTTCCCCCCTTTGTTGAACCTTTCGGCTTCCCTTTCGGGGCTGGTAGGTTGAGACCGGGGCGCCGGCAGTTACGGATGGCAGTTTGGAAACAAAAGGCAAGGCAGACACACAAAAAAGTAGAGAGTATCGATATTTAGGTACAATGCGCGCATATTCAAATCTAGAAACACCAAGAAAAATATCAAACCTAAATATTCACCATAATGCTATATCATCGGAAACCTTACCAGACCATCACGCAATTTCTTGGCAGGCAGATAAAGCACTTCCCCCCTTCCTCCATTTTTTTTTTTAAAAAAAAAAGGCCGAAGGAAAAAAACCTTGGGCTTCATTTTCCAAAATTCATAACCTTGGCTGTCGTCGAGATAATCATCACGCCAATTCCCCGTGATGTCGCAAATTGCCAAGACGTAACGATCTGCCTCTAACGCCTTGCCAATGCTGTATGGCATGCCAAGTCTTGCGGGAACTAAGGAAAGGATATCGACTTGGCTTTTTTTTTAAAAAAAAAAAAACTAAAAAAAAATTCTCCTTGGACTCTGGAGTCCCTTGGGGATGGAGGCATTGCTGCATGCAAGCACAGTATCTAAACGTTTGCCAAGCGTTGCCAAGAAGGGGTAGCGCAAAGTACACACGCACAACCGAACCATGTTCTTTTTCATGTTCTCTCTTTTTCAAAAAGAGCAGTGCTCGGTTGTTGTGTCATTGAATGTTCAATATTACTTGAGCCAAAGAAAGGTTTGGATGAGATTAAACTTGTTCAGATGTCATGTGCTCGTTCAAGAGAGCTATTGTAAGTTGTTTTTTGCAGCCGGAGATTTCGGACAGTGAGCTGACCGCCTTTCGCTTGCGGCCCCGCAAGCCCGTTGGCGGCGGGAAGGCAAACTGACGCCACGCCCTCTCACACTGTTACACACACATACACACACGACAATCCGCAAATCCCGGACAATAGTATCGCGCGGCGGGCGCTGCGAGAACGAGAAAGTCTGGGAAGATTGTCTTGACGGGTTTGTTTCGGTGACACCAGGTCGAATCTCACCACGGGTCGTCAGACATTGGGGGTCACCACACACCACCACGTGGTTGGCTGCAGTGAAACATCTTGTGCCGGCGAGCACAGCCTCAATGACTGGCTCGGTATATACCTACCGAACCGGGTTGCCTCTTCGACTGGGTGTCACAAGAGTGGCCTAGCTGAGACCTGTTGCTTAAAGCGCGTATTCGATATGAACAAAGTGTCGATGAACACGATGTCTTTTTCAGCTGCAGAGGCCGCCGATTGAATTGAAAACCCGAGGTTTAGGAGAGAGCCTACGGGGTCATGAGGGAGCCTCAAGTTGCCTTTCGTGAGGGTTGAGTGTCAGATCGCCACCCGCAGGCTGACCCGATGTTTCTCCTTCCCTCGTTTGAATGATTGGGTATCAAGGAATTCTCTGGGTTGCAGTGATTGCCGAGAAAGTTTCGCTCCCACGCTCCGAAGCTGCTCAGCCTCATTCAATCGACGTCTGTTGATGACGGCGCGCAAGCCGGTTGGTCATGCAGAGATCAACTACTAGATGATACCTTGCCGCTGTGAGATATAGCGGAGAACGTATTTCAGTCTAGTCCGGCAGGCGGGCGGTAGGTAGCAAAATGGAGGGGGCAAGGTGGACTCTCGAGCGTCGTCTTTTTGGCCGCTCACTCATCGGCAGCTGTGGTTGTGGTTGTGGTTGTGGTTGTGGTTGTGGTTGTGGTTGGGGTTGTGTTGAGTTTGGGAAAGTCTAGACCTGAATCTAGAATCTAGAATTTAGAAGGGGTGAAGGTCGAGCTGAATATCACGAGTTGCGAGTCTGAGAGGGGGAACCGAGCGGGTTGAGAGTCGGTTAGCTGGGGTCCGATGTCGTTGACGAAACTTGACAGCTTGGAAGGCCACCTCCGGCTCAGCTGGAAGTCAACTACCGCAGTGGACTGGAAAGGTAGTTTGAAGTCTTTTGGGACTCTGTTTAGCTGGCGAGTCAAGACGCAAACTGGCTCTTCGGATGAGAAACGATAAGGTTTGTGTCTTCTGTAGTTGACTACTTCTTTTTTGAGTTGTTAGTTGATTGGGCCGAATTCAAATGTGTGATTATACCACCGACAGCTTCGCGTGATGCGGGGCAAGATGCGGAGGTGAAGAGGCCTCGGGTCGGATGGTGGACGGTGTTAGACGGCATTGGCTGATGGTTGGATGTTGATGTTTCGTCGGCTCTCGGATGTTGGGGAGACAAGCAACCGGAGCAAAGCTGTGGTACTCCCAGGTTGACCACGGATTGATGCTAGCCGTGACCGCGGATTCGTCGGCTGAATGGGAATTCTGCCTTTTCAGGCGTCGAGGCTACCGAATCCAGAGCGGCTAGTTTCTTTGGAATCGGACTGCGGTCAGGCATCCAGAGGCTGTAGTCAAAAGTTGTGAGATGAATGGGTTTGTCTTTGTTAGGCCTTCACCAGAGCTGGGTTGCCGCGGCAGGACACCCACAGACGTGCACTATGTAAAACGAAGGTGGCAGGCATTTTTGTGGACACTATTGCACATCTAGGCGTTCAAGCATTCCACAGGTCAAGATCGGTTCCTCGAGGGTTAGGGCCGGGAGATCAAGTACCGGAATGATGATGACAATGCAGAGAAGAAAGCCCTGCTAAGCGAATCGACTCACTTTGTGTCAAGAGACCGGGCATCTAGGGCGCCCAGAGCGGTAACCGAGAACGGGCACGAATCCAAAGTATAGCATGACATGGCATGGCATCGTGTGTGCCCGTGGTCAACAAGGCAAGGCCGACCGACCATGGAGAAACAGTAGGTTTCTGGCATTCGCGGGAAGCTGGGATGTGGAGTTCCAGAAAAGGACTCAAAGACTCAGAGACTCCAAAGTCTGGACCTTCGTGGCGCCGTCTCCTTCACCCACGTCCCACGGGTGGCCCATGCCCGTCCGATTCGGCCAGGGCCCCGATGCCTCTCATGTCGGTAACGGAATTAAGTAGTGGGCACCCGCCATTCCGGTGCGAGGGGAGCACGGGATGGTATCTGGTATTCGAGGCAGAGCCAACGTGTCCAGGGCGCCAAAACAAACAAGCGGAGCAGGCCAAGATTGCGCTGGAGAACCCAACTGCAACTCTGAACTCTTGCGCCTCTGCAAAATAGGAGAAACGTCCCATCCGGCATGAATCAGAGAACCTGCCGTCTTATTGTTCATCTTTGAACAGACGCGGCCACTGTCGTAATTTGGCGACTTTGGTCTTGGCATCATCTTGCTTATGGATGCCAAGCGGTTCGGTTCGCCTGTTGTCACTCATTGACAAAGACAGCTGCTAAAGGGATTCGGGAATGCGATGAAAATTGTGGGTGGTCGTCAATCCAGCTGTTGCTTGCTTCTGACTGCTCTGGCCCGGGTCCATACTCCGTAATACGTTTCTTCCACTGTAGAATTATGGCCGAGAAATTGGACCCAAATGCTTCGAAGGCAAGTTTGAACTGTAAAAGGTTTCGCTCGCCTAGCACTTGATGCTTTCCACCCACTTCCCGGACTTGTGCCTCCGGAGTTCGCCTGTAGTATGCACAGCTCTCAATGATGATTGAGACATACCCTGATGATGATGATGATGATAATGATGATGATGATGATGCTACTACTCCTGGCTCCTGCGGGTTTGAGAGGAATTGCTGTGTTGAAGAAGAAGCTCCAAGTAAGACCGTTCATGTAAGACGTCAGATGTGCGCGATCAACTTGGAGTAAGCCACACCATCCTTCTCGAATCTGAGGAGGGGCGTTCCATCTAACGTGAGAGCTACGACTAGGAATCGAGTCGCTCGTCATTGTGCATGATCGTCGAGTAGGAGCCTGGCTGCGGTGCCTCTTTTGGTCTTGTGCCGCGATAGTGGTGTGGCCGCCGTGCCGCCCGTCAAGACAGACCGAGAAGAGGAGTGGAAAAAAGAAGAAGCTGTCGCGCAAATATCCGTACAATCAATGCAACTTTACACCTTGCGAAAAATTCGTGGAATTTCAAACCATGAAGTTTAGTTGAGGCGAGCATCGGCGGACATCTCGTGCAAACCCTGACCTTGTCCAACCTTGAGATAAGGTAAGGGACAAGCCATGCAGGTTCGAGTGCAATCCTAAAGAGCCCCATCGAGCGTTGGCATGAAAATTTGTCTTGGCGTTTTGGCATCTGTCGCTGCGTTGCCCCGCTGTTGAACTCTGAACCTCGAGCCGGTACTTTGTATTCGTAGTCGCATATCTGTATCCGTAGAGACAGTACGAATAGTGTAGCGTACCTGACGTCGGCCTTGAAAGAGATGACAGACCACCAAGCGGACACCACCTCAGCCGGCCGATGGTTGATTTGTTGGTGCATTTTCTGCTGCTCGTATCAAACAACCGGTCCCGACCTGCCAGACTGGGCAAGCCAGCGCGCACATCCCAACGAGCCAGTTAACCGCCGTAGCACAGAACAGGATGGTCAATGTCGCCATATTTCCGTCTACTTATTGGCGCCATTTCTGTCCAGTGCAGGTCAGGCAATGCGAATGTGAGATTTGCAAAACCAGAGTGGCCTAAATGACAGATGCGATTTGTGATGCAATATCTATCTCATCTCTTCCGAGACGGCTTGTTGGAATGCGATGATCCGAACTCGCTCAACAAGGCACGTCCTTGCTTTTTGGTATGCCCATGATCCCCGGTACCCCGGACCAAACCAGACAAGAGGCAAGGCACAATCATCTAGATGTGATACGGCACAAGTGTCTGAAAGAAGGCGAAAGCGCTATGTTCGACGTGGATGGCTGGTATGCCTCCCGAGAACGCCTGCTTCAGCACCACATGGAAGAGCCCTGGAAGCCCCCAGACAACGGAAAAGCCGTCGTGTGTATCAGACCAAGAGAGAGAAGATGCGGCACGGGGGAAGGGGGCTTACAGAGTAAGAAGCTGGTCGATTATTGGAAATGTAAAAGCTTTGTACTGCAGGATGCTGTTCTGGCTGTCGATCTTGGGCCACTGCAGCCTGCCATCCCACCCGCAGGTCTGGCCCGATCGAACACTTTGTCGCACTGTGGGTGTTTTTGGATTCGAAAGTTCCAATTACTTTGCCAGAACCTAAGTAGATAGTCATGTTGAAGACTACCAAGATGGCTGAATCAGATCTTATCGAGATGCTGGACTTGTACGGGAGTTAATGGGCGTGGGCAACTTGTGCTGCTCTGCTCCTCTAGTCGCAGGTTCAGAAGACGCTAGCCCTAGGTTCATCGATGATTCAAGTTGCTTATCCGTGAGGCGACTAACAGTATCAGCCAAGGCGAGCCAGTCCTCGTTTGGAGTCTCTCAAAAGGGAGCTTGATTCCTACGTAGCTTGACAGGTTGTTCAATAGCCGCCGGGCGTCGGGAGTCAAGCTGGCGCTCAGCCTCGAGGATGGAGGTCGGTTCTTGGGGGTACGAGTGCAAGACCCATGGCCAGATGATTGGTGTGACTTTGTACAGAGTACGAGGAGTGCCTACGCAGCATTCGTATGGGGCGCTATAAGAGTCGGTGCCGCAGCGGCCAAGAAACACGATGTCGAAACAAATGAAGCAGATGCGCACTGCGTGCTCCGTACGGAGTATAGAAACGCTGCTGTCAAAGTTGAGGTAGCGCCGACGGTGGGCTTGTGGAGCGAGAGGTATCCGTTGAATTTGATAAGAGCGAGCATGTGCTATCCAGTCGTCGCGCTCTCGTCCTGATTCAGGGCCTGTTCCAAGCAAAACACCCTAGGCCAATAAGTCCACCTGGTTACGCATCATATATAGGCAAGGTAATAGTAGTAACCGCCCAGATGTTTGGAGTGTCTGTAGTAAGTTGAGAAATGAAGTTTGACAACCTGTGAAGTCAGCAGCAAGACGAATCCAATGTTTGGGGAACGGGGGAATCGGGATATTGGAAATATAACCGGTTCGATTCGGCTGGCGTCATATTTCGAACCAGAATCTGAACGTCTCAAGGGACCGAACCCTTGGGGAAAAAGCAACGATGATGGTCTGTTCTAATGGAATGAATTTGAAGGACTTGGCTGGAAAGGGCGTCACTGCCACGACGGGTGGAAAGGAAGGGGGAAAAAAAAAAGAAGAAGGTACCTTTGGCCTTGGCAACGTACCGTGTGAAATGGGAAGTTGCCCCACACGGGGCCGGGGTGGATCTTCCCACCTTTTGGTGATGAGGAGAGAGCGAGCCAGGGCTCCATATGTAGAGGGAGGTAGCTTCGCAATGGCTATGGGAGGCGTCGAGACATGAAGTGTACGGCGTTGATGAGCTTCTTTCTCCTGACAAGCTACCTAGGTACCTTACTGGGACCCCTTCCAGCAACGACGGGCAGGCTAACCCGCAAACGGAGTAGCAGCACTCCCAGTACAAAATACACCGGCTTACCCCTGTAGAGACCTTCCCTCCGTCCAATGAGGTATACTTCTTTGCACTGCCTCCTTCTTGGCACCACATGTGGGAGATCCAAACTCTCACTCATCTTTTCTAGACCATGCCATGGCATGGCACAACCGCCGCCTCCCACGAAATGCTCAACACAGAGGAGACGTGACAAGGGGCAAAACCTCCTCTTCATCCCGTCCTGTGTCTGTCGTCCTGGATTTCGTTCATTTGCCCCCAAGGTCCCTCTTTCCCAGGCCGTACCGAACGGATACATCACTACCAAGACAGCCACCTGATCTAGTCGCTGGCTTGTCTCAAGCTCTTCTTACTCCAGTCTTGGCTCCTAGTAGGCGCTTTGAATTGGGAATGGACTTGGACTGATTCAAACCAACTTCAACGTCCCATCTTTCTCCCATCGCATCATTCCCTCGCCTTGTCTCTTTTCTCTGATTGCTTGGCTGCCCATTCCTTTGCGTCCCGCAATGTAGAGTGAGAGAAGGAGATACCAAACGTTTTCCTTTACCAAAACCACTTCTACTCATCTTAGGACGTCGTGCAGTCATACGCACTCGCCGATATCCACTGTCGAGACCGACGACCGCGGATACCCTCATCGATATCACACCACGACGCGCCCTTGCGCTCTGCATAATACAACTACAACACGCCTGCCAACCTCAACCTAGTCTTCAACATTGACGACAGGTTTTCGCCATTGTATCTTCAAAAATAGTTTACCTCGTTTGGATATCGTCGCTCCTTTCGCCTCCCGGCTGCCTCCTTCCTTTACCGGCACAGCCTCACGCTACCACTTCTTTCGTACACACTGGCGCACTTCATTTGCCTCGCTTCACCATCACACGCCGCCGCAACAAGGCGGCAGTGTCGAGCTTGATTGGGAACCATGGATCCGAATTCTACCCCCGAAGATGGCCCTGCGCCGCAACGGAGGAATCGAGCGTACGTTTGCAGTCAGCGGCATCCGTTGGCCTCTGAACGATTAGTTGGATATAGGACTGACTCTCTTCTCTGTAGCCCGACCATCACCATAGACCCGTCTGCCACCGGTGTCGACACCACAAGTCCTGCACCAGCCATGGCTCAGGAAACCCAACAAGACGTGTCCAACTCACCCGGATCGCCCAAAGATGAGGCAGTCAGTCCGACGACCGTACCGGAAGGTGTTGGTGCGCCGTGGTCAGCTTCCCAAGAGAAGCCATCGAAACCGAAGCTTCGTGCCGACACCTCTTTCGACGCCAAGGATAGCAGCAGGCCCCAAAGCCCGCACAATGTGTCCAGTCCTGTTGCGACCTTGAGAGGCAACGACCGTGCCTTCCTGGCTGTTCCCAGCAACTTGCGCTCTCGACAGAATTCTATCGATTCCGACGACATGTCTTCCCAGGGCGAGACCATTGCTGTACTGAGCCAGTCAACCGAAAAGACTATGAAGCCCAGCCCCATGTCCAACGAGAAAATTATGAACGACGATAGCGCTCTGCGTCCAGACAAGGGCAGTGAAGGAGATTTCGTTGCGGAGAACAACCCTTTTGCTTTTACGCCTGGCCAGCTTAACAAGATGTTCAACCCGAAGAGTTTGGGCGCATACTACGCTCTTGGAGGTTTGACTGGTATTGCAAAGGGTCTTCGCAGTGATCGCAAGGCCGGATTGAGCTTGGATGAAGTCCACCTAGACGGTCAAGTCTCCTTCAACGACGCAACGGCTCACATTCACTCATCTGGGGATTTCAAGGAGAGCGAAACCCCGGCAGCCCCCGCGAGACAAAACACTGGCCACCACGCTAAGCATGACGACGGCGGATTTTCCGACCGCAAGCGCATTTTTAAGGACAACCGGATCCCCGAGAAGAAGGGCAAGACTCTTCTTCAGCTAATGTGGATTACATACCAGGATAAGGTTCTCATGCTTCTGACAGCTGCCGCGGTAGTCTCACTCGCTATTGGTATCTACCAGACAGTGGGCTTGCCGCACGCTCCCGACGAACCAAAGGTTGAATGGGTCGAAGGTGTTGCCATTGTGGTTGCTATCGCCATCGTTGTTATTGTGGGATCCCTCAACGACTACAGCAAAGAGAGGCAATTCGCCAAGTTGAACAAGAGGAAGAAGGATCGCAACGTCAAGGTCGTCCGCTCGGGAAAGACCATCGAGCTGTCAGTACACGATATTTTGGCTGGAGATGTGATTCACCTTGAGCCGGGTGATCTGATCCCCGTCGACGGAATCTTGATTGAAGGCTTCAATGTCAAGTGTGACGAGTCTCAAGCTACGGGAGAATCGGACATCATCAAGAAGCGAAACGGCGAGGAAGTCTTCACAGCTATTCAGAACGGCGATGACCCGAAGAAACTGGATCCTTTCATTCAATCTGGCGCCAGAATCATGGAAGGCGTTGGCACTTTTATGGTTACATCTACCGGTATCCACTCATCATTCGGCAAGACTCTCATGGCTTTGGACGAGGACCCGGAGGTTACACCCCTACAGTCGAAGCTTAACATCATTGCCGAATACATCGCCAAGCTCGGAGGCGCTGCAGGTCTATTGCTCTTCATCGTCCTCTTCATCGAATTCCTCGTCAAGCTCCCCAAGCAACCGGCTTCGGTCACCCCAGCTCAAAAGGGACAGGATTTTATCAACATCGTCATTACCGTTGTTACTATTATCGTTGTCGCTGTACCCGAAGGACTTCCCCTAGCCGTCACGCTCGCCCTCTCGTTCGCTACGAGACGCATGCTGAAGGATCAAAATCTCGTCAGGCACCTCAAGGCTTGTGAGGTCATGGGAAATGCCAATACCATTTGCTCCGACAAGACCGGCACCCTCACACAAAACAAGATGCAAGTCGTTGCTGGCACTATTGGTACTACCCACCGATTTGGCGGATTGCGTCCTGACGGATCCAACGATGGCGATGATTCTGCTCTCGATGCCTCTGCTGATATTTCGGTTGCGGAATTCGCCAAGATGCTCAGTGCACCGGTCAAAGAAATCCTCGTCAACTCGATCTCACTCAACTCTACGGCTTTTGAAGGTGAGGTTGACGGCGAGAAGACATACGTTGGATCGAAGACGGAGACCGCGCTGCTTCTCTTGGCGCGTGATTACTTCGGCATGGGTCCTGTTGCTGAGGAACGCGAGAACGCAAAGATTCTTCAACTCATTCCCTTCGACTCTGGTCGCAAGTGTATGGGAATCGTCGTTCAGCTTCCCGGAGGAGGTGCCCGAGTCTACGTTAAGGGCGCTTCCGAGATTGTTCTCGGAAAGTGCAACCAGATTTTCCGTGACCCGTCTCAGGATGCCACCCTTGTACAGATGACCGAGGCCAACTTCCAGACGGTCAACACCCTAATCAATACCTACGCCTCCCGATCACTCCGAACCATTGGCATTGCCTACAGGGACTTCGAACAGTGGCCCCCTCGCAATGCCCGTCGCGTTGATGGAGGCGAGGTCGACTTCGATTTCATGTTCCGAACGATGGCCTTTATCGGTATGGTTGGTATCCAGGATCCCTTGCGCGAGGGAGTTCCGGAGGCTGTTAAGCTGTGCCAGAAGGCGGGCGTTATGGTTCGCATGGTCACTGGAGACAACAAGCTTACGGCTGAAGCTATCGCTAAGGAATGTGGTATTCTGCAACCTAATGGGCTTGTCATGGAGGGTCCTGAGTTCCGCAACCTCACCAAGTCTGAGCAAGAGGCCATTATCCCGCGTCTCTGCGTTCTCGCCCGCTCGAGTCCCGAGGACAAGCGAATCCTGGTGAAGCGTCTCAAGGCAAAGGGAGACATTGTCGCTGTGACCGGTGACGGAACCAACGACGCCCCTGCGCTCAAGACAGCCGACGTTGGCTTTTCCATGGGAATTGCGGGTACTGAGGTTGCCAAGGAAGCTTCGTCAATTATTCTTATGGACGATAATTTCAACTCGATCGTTAAGGCTTTGAAGTGGGGTCGTGCTGTCAACGATGCCGTCAAACGATTCCTCCAGTTTCAGCTTACGGTTAACGTTACCGCCGTCATTCTCACGTTTGTCACTGCCGTGAGCAGCACTTCAGTCCTCACTGCTGTGCAACTGCTTTGGGTCAACTTGATCATGGACACGCTCGCAGCCCTTGCCCTCGCTACTGATCCTCCCCAAGACAGCGTTCTTGACAGAAAGCCTGAAAGACGCAATGCATCTATCATTACAACTACGATGTGGAAGATGATTCTCGGACAGGCCGTCTACCAACTCGCCATCACCTTCATGCTTTTCTACGGAAAGGAGACCGTTGTTCCTGGTCCGGAGCACATCCCTGATGATCAGATCGCCACGTTGGTTTTCAATACCTTCGTGTGGATGCAGATCTTCAACCAGTGGAAGTAAGTGTAAATTCTCTTCGTTATCTCGAACTCGAGGAACTAACAGCTTGATAGCAACCGTCGCTTGGACAACAACTTCAACATCTTCGAGGGCTTGACAAAGAACATGTTCTTCGTTGGCATCAGCGCCATTATGATCGGTGGACAGATCCTCATTGTTTTCTTTGGCGGAGCCGCGTTCCAGATCGCCGACGAGGGTCAAACCGGAACCCAGTGGGCTATGGCCATTATCCTTGGACTGATCTCCATTCCTTTCGGCGTGGTCATCCGTCTCATCCCCGACGCTCTTATTGAGCGTTTGATCCCCGATTACCTCAAACGCCGCGCCAAGGACTCCGTTCCGGGCCTCACGGTCTCAGATGAGGAGCAGTTCGAGATGTATCCGGAGCCATTGTCCGACGTCCGCGATGAATTGGCATTCATCAAGCGCATGAAGGGTGG